GAAGGTCATCATCAACGTTTGGGAGTTGATGACGGCGCTCACGGAAGATATTGATGTGGAGCCTGGTTCCAATGTGGTCGGCGTGGACCAAACCGTTGGCGACGTCTATCGATATTTCCATGGAAGACATGGACAAGCAAGAATGCGCACGGAAAGCACGTCATTGACGCTCTGGCTGGAGAAGAGTGAGAAGAGGTTCACAGCATTCAGAGACGCATACTGGGTCCAAACCTACTGCACTCCGAAAGCAAGGGTATGCACCGTGGTCAAGAATATGTGCGGAAACACCTGGAGCTGCTCACCATCTCTGCCAAGTATGCGGCTTTCGCTGCAAGACGCGAACCACTATGCACAGCCAGGAACATCTTGGAGCTGACGATCGCTGGGAAGATCAAAATGATCCCCACAATCCCCGATGCACTGTTCGCTGCGTCTATTGCTATGGGATGCGTCTTATTCCTACATGCAAGACTCAGAGAGATCTTTGGGGGCAATGATCGTGAAAGAATGGGGCACGTTGGCGGTGACAAGACCATCATCAAGGATGTTGACGCACAGCTCAACAACCTCAATAAGGTATTCTCTGTCATGGCCAAAGCCTGGGAAATGAAGTTACCTGCCATCAACATGTGTGCCATTTCCGTTGCACCACGTGGCGAAGACCGTACCAAGGAAGAAGCGAATCGCCCTACGTGGGAATTGTTCATCGTGCTACAGGACAACCAGACTGCAGATGAACTGCAACAGCGGGCCTTCATCAACAATTTGCTGTGCTCCAGAGATAGCACCAAGAAGTTCATCGACGTCTTCGACGAAGATTTCGGCGAAGAAGGAGTACCAGCATGGTCAGGAGAGACACCTCCTGCTCCAGAGCCCAAGGCAATGCCGAAACCCAGCGCCGGAAGCGAGTAGCCTGGTGCCCAACCAAGCGCGAGCTCCAGCGATGACCCCACTTGGCGGCCGCCGGGAAAAGATCAGGATGACGGAACGGTTGTCAACGCGACCATCCAAGCGATTCTGGAGATTTCCGCAAAAGGGGAAGACGAACGATGGATCATGCCGGAGAAGCACGATGCGAACGAACCAGTGACCATCATCGAGCAGTGCACTGCCTTCGGCAACCTCGACATTAGGGTTAGCTTTGCATTGCACAGACGATCCGGGGTCGTCATGCCCATCACAAAGTTTGGACCAGAAGTGAAAGCGGGGAAGAACGCATCTTACTGGGAACG